CACTAAATATGATGAATCTACTAATCGGACCACAAATGAGACAAGAATTAATTTGTAAAAACAATAGACGCTGCCAAGCAGAGTCAGCTAAGCTAACAGAACAGCTAGTTGCATTGCTAACTGAGCTAACTAGGAGGCATGCTGTTGCTAGCTAGCTAAGTAATGAATCTTTGTTCTGTGTTGAAGGTTGATTGATGGGTGGATGTTACGATATTGTTGGTTGAAAGTGGTTGGTTCACACTTTTGTAAGCATACGTACTATTTTGTGTAACAGGAAGAAATATAATTGGATTTTGACACGAAAATACAAAGAAAAAAAGCATAAAAAATACATTTTTCATTTAATCTCGACTTTAAGACAGGCTGAGCAGGTGGATGGGTGCGTTCCTTTAATTTGTGGGCATGCTATGCCTGGACCAGATTACCATAAAAAAAAAAGAAAGTGGAGAAACATTTTGGGAACCTGGTATTAAGAGCAGAGTGAAGCCTTAGCTTTTTGCTCACATGACTTACTTACAAACATTTACGTCGTTATTTGAAACTTTGGCCACATTTAATATGACATCCAAAAAAACAAACATTAGGACCAAAAATAAGGGAAAGCATAATAGGTCCCCTTGTAATAGCACTCTCTATTAGTTTAGAAAAGAATTTTCACTATAAACAAATTATTTTATTTATAACTTAATAAAACAGGCATTCGTTTTGTCTTAGTTTTAGGATTAGAGTTAACACTTTTTTTGGCGTGTTTTTTAGTGTGTTGGAGTAAATATTATTACTTGAAGTCAGTATAGCTGTAGTCAAGAGAACTGGTAAGTAACTTGTTGAGGTTACTACTGACACAGATCTGTTGTAATGCTCCGATTCATCTTCAGGTGTGATCACACCTTCACTTAAACCTACGAGGAAAAACCACTGAATAAACATATTCTGCTAGTAAAGATTACATTACAATTACAAGAGTTATTTTTCAAGCTCTAATTTAAAGGTAATTACTTTTCTGTGTAGGTCCTTTAGCTTTTGCTCCTTTGCTTGAAAACGTTAAGGTCGTCTTATTGTAACTTTTCCAGCTTTTCTGTTTCTGTTTTTCTTACTGAGTTTGTCTAATATGACACTAGATGCTGAAATACTGTTTATCATGTGTCATTGTGAAGAAAGTCACACATACCCCACCTATTTGTTGTGGCACTAAATCATCCTACATACAGTAAAAGGAAATCATTTTGGCCAACATGTGGTAACCATTTTGCTACGTGAAGACAAAATGTTGCTGAGTACATTTTACCATAATTTAATATACGACTGATCATTACAACTACTGTGCTAATCTCAAACATAAAAAAGTTAACAAAGTTTGAGTATACTTTCAGATTACATGACATTACCTGACAGTAAGTTTGAGGTGCTGCATCGACTCTGCAGCTTGGGCCTTTTGAACTTCTGGGACACAGTCCTCAGGTACTTTTTTATGAGTGCCCCTCCGCTTCCTTTCTGTGAAGGGTCTGTAGAGGAGACTCCTGAAGCCTCTGCAGCAGCTGACGATGTAGCTGCATGAGCTGGGCTGGCAGCACTGGAGGAAGGGGCCAGGACTGCAAGCAATGACCCAGGAGGCTCAGACAGGGCCCTTCTGAAGGGGTTCTTTCTGGTTCCTCCGACACCTTTATCTTGCTTGGCTCCCTCTCCACCTTTCCCACTTGGTGGATTTCTGTCTCCAGGGTCCTCGCTCAGGGCCTTGCGCCAGTTTTGCATCTTGTTCCATTTGTTGGTGGAGGCCTTCTGAATCCTATCGATTGTAGAAGTGGAAGAAGCCGCCCCTCCTTCTTCTTCTTTCATCTCATTGAGCGTTCCCTTGGAGCCGGTATGCCACTTGTATGTATTGAGGGGGTCTGTGGTCTCCGAAGTTTGGCCCACGGCAGGTTCCTTTTCCTTTTCTGGTGATCCCTGCTCCATTGGTTGCTGAGCTGCAGGCTCTAAATCTTTCTCCTCAGTGCCCATTTCAGACTTGCCTCAAAAGTTTTGTGTCCCTTCTCACAGATGCATCAAACAAAATTCAAATTCAAATACCTTCATAGGAGACCTGGCCGGCTTTCCTCCTGATTTACTGCTATTGTGGAGTGATTAAAATGGTAGAGTAGTCTGTGTCTTCACTGGTTCTATCTCACAGCATGTCTCGTTTCCTGTCTTACCAAACGTCATCCGGCAACAACAACTGCTCTGAATGTGGTTGCTTTGCTGCAGCTTCAAACTCCTCTCACTCACAGGCCGCTTGGTTCCTCATAAAATGGCACTGAGTAGCTCACATACATATAAAAATCTCACAATGTTTTTCCGCACTTTATGTTTTCACTTAATACTTCCCTTCTTCCTCACTTCCTGTTCTTCTTGAATGCCCCAGTTTTTCCTCCAAATGAACCTGATTCATCTCTGACATATCTGATGTTCTCTTAAACACACGCCTTTTTTACTTGCATAGTACCTAAACTTAAAGCAATGTACACACATTACACACACACACACACAGTGTCATTTGATAGAGGCCTTTTGTAGGTAGTTATCAGCCGTAACTTCCCTTTGAAGGAAACCTGTTCGTCTGTCAGTTCTTGAGTCATTTAGTCTGTTGCAGTATGAGTGTGAGAAATGTGGTTTCACGTACACCTCATTTAAATGATTGAATCTGAAGGACAAGGATACAACTTCAGTTCTATCCTTTATTCACCCCTCTGTCTTCTATTATTAATGAAAGTCTACCCAATTACTCAATGATTGAATGTATCTAAAAAAACTACCTGACTATTATTAATACCATGAACAATAAGGTAGTAAATAAGTAAAAGAGTGACAATATCCACTTGTTATGAGCTACCTGTGGTTGTATGGACTGTTGACTGTTAAGATCAGTTTCCTGTCAAAGCGCGGCTGCACTTCCTGCTGAGATCGGTTTGTCATACTCTGAAAACCACTTCCTGCTCTCATGCTGCTCTCTGCTCTTACACACCTGCAGGATATTTCTGTGTCCCAGTGGGCGAGATGGCACCACTAATGTCAGCTATAATTGCTCAATGGTAAAATGTAAGCAGACAGCCAGTTTCTGATGCCACTGCAGCACTCTACATAGTGTATGCAATATCTATAGACATTCAAATCTATAGACCGCAGGACTGTTAACTGCTTATTTTAAAACTGCTTTTTGTGCCTTATATAGTTCAGACTGTTATCTAAGATTATCTAAGAACTACTCTGCAAACATTCATACATGTAAACATGTGTTTTTATTATTATTATTATTTAAAGAATCCATTGTATGAGGCTGGTGGCAGTCCCTCTGGTGGCTGTGTTGTGGTATTGATACTGAAATGACTGAAAATGTGCATTGGCTGTCGAGCTGTGACAAATAGACCTGATGAGTTACTTCAACTCAACTTTAACTGTTTTATGAAACCAATTACCTTAAACGGCTTAAGTTTATTAACTCAAACTTGTGTAAATTGTTTCTAAATTTATATGAATAAAGTAACTTAAATGCATCTTCTTTATACAAATGTTACCACCAAGTTTAAAGTAGACTAGTAGACTTCTTCTACTAAAGAAAATTATTACATTACCTGTCAAAACAGCTGACGTACAATGAAAACTATTAATTCATTATCACAATGGTAATTTTCTGTGCTTTTTTATGTGACCAACATCAAATATTTACACTTTGGGTGATCATTAAGAAACATTTGGATTACTTGGGCATATGATGATTAATAAACTAAAATAAAAGCAAAAATTTTAAAATCCTAATCTATACATCAGCATAGCACTGACCATGGTCAGTGAGGCTTACATTTTTGTAATGATATAAAGTCAAGAAAATAAGTCTAAGAACAAACTTGAACTTGAACTGTGTGCAAATTTAAGGGCACTCAAAACAACTGAGTTGCTTCAACAATTCATTTTTGTAGGATTCATTTAAGTTAACTTACTTCTTTTATTAAGATGTGTGGTCAGGTTTTACAGTGAAGCCCTAATGGACTGCAGATAACTTTTATTACCATAATCACCACAACAACAGCATTTTGTTGTATAGTCTAATTAAAGAAGTTTTTAAGAGAAAAGTTTGTTAATTTGTTGTTTCTCTTGCATGGATTAAAGATAAAATTCTGTCTTGGAGTTTCATATTTAACTTTATATCTTTTTTTGCCTTTTATGATCTGTAATGAAGATTGTGAACCATGCTCTATAGGCACAGTGTTGCTGTGAGCTAATGTGCTCACAAAAACAATGCTAATATACCAATGTTTAGCAGGTTAACATACTAACGTTTGCTAATTAGCACTAAAAATGAAGTACAGCTGCAGCTGATGTTAGTAGTTTTGCAGGTTTTTGGTCACAGACCGAAGTATTAGATTAAGTAAACTTTCGGACTGATGAAAAGTTAAGTTATTACAATTCACTCTGAGGAGAAGATAAATGTCTGCACCACATTCCATGGCAATTATTCAACAGTTGTCAAGACATTTCAGTCATATTTATTTCACCTCCATAAACAGGGCCTTGACACTAGTGGGGTGGTGGATTTAAAATGATCACTGAATAATAGTTGAGTGCTGACTGACGAATATATGCTCAGGTTTGATATGATGGTGAACAAGATGAAGCCTCTCAACAACCCTCTGCAAGGAGAAATAGAATACATTTTTGTTCTCATTTTGCTGTGGAGAAAAATGACATTTAGTGTCTGATGAACCTTTTCTACCTCCTTCATTGCAATTCATTGTAACTAGAGCCATTGCCCACTAGAGGACACTGCACATCCATTTGAAATGTTCTCAAGTAATACGATACCATTTTTTTTTTCCATACAAAAACATACAATATTTTCTATTATCTGCTCGTAAATGGTTGATCCGGTTGAACATATCACTATTTGCCATAGAAATTACTGTCAGAACACATGCTCTTGATCAAACTAACAAAATATACAATCATCTGCATACAGTTTTGTTCTCTAAATTATTCTTATTAAGCAATATACATTTATGGTTCATGAATAAGTACATAATCAATAATTTTATTTTATTTATATTTATAGATAGGACAACTGTAGGACTCATACATTGGGGTGAGCTATCCAGGCACCCCATGAGGACCTATACTTTTACTAACTACTATTAAGATTGGAGGTCTTAAAAGGAAAAGGAATACAAGGAAAGGAGAATGAAGATGTGAGGAAAGAATACTGTGCTGTATATAAACCATACTGTTTTAGCCCACTGTACACTCGACTTTGTGATACTCTGTTTTTGCTTGCTAATGGTGAAATTCACTTTTGCTGAACCACTGACAACACACAACACAATGCCTTCTTGACCTTTATTAAATTTGAGCCAAAGCTTTGATATTTAACAGCACATCCTGTTTTCCTGGTGAGGGCATGAATGGTGTATTATTATTTTTTATCATGAAATCCTAACAGATAACATTCTCTGTACACAAATTCTCCATCAAGACATTATCTGACTGTACAATAACATTTTTGGCCTTTTTTATGTATCTGCTGTTTAACGTTTGGTGTGGTGGCAGACCTTGGTGTAAGCTGTACGAACACAACTAGCCTGCCCTTTGAAACACAATCGCCTTAATGCTATCATCCACCGCCATCGCTGCTAAACCTCTTACATAATTAGGATGTGAGTGTATTTAACGCTGAGAACTAAACAGAAGCTTATAAGTCCAGACATATTTGTGCAGCAACTGAGGATGAAAACACTCGTGTATAAAAAACATGAGTTTGAAATTGATAATCTATCAACAAATGTTTCAGTAAAACTAATCTGTACATGCAAATATAAGTACTTCTATATTTGATTGTTAATGGATGAACCACTTTGATATTAGTTTTGTTTCTTAATTCTGGGACAGGATTAGGGTTATTATTATACTGGAGACTACTTGGTTAGGTAAGTTTTCTTTTTTTTTTTTTTTACAATTGACTCCTGTTTATTTTTTTTACAACAGCAGAGGTCTTGTGTTTCAGGTGTGTAAATTATCCGGGTTGTATATAGGTTCAGCTCGTCTTAAGCATCAGCAAAATAGTAACTATCAGATTCCAACACCAGCATTGATTACTTATAGCTGAAAATAGTTTACACTGTCTCCATTTACGCATGGTATTTGTGGGTTTGGCATCTTGCCATGGTCACAGACTTTTGAGGGTAGATGAAACCGAAGACTCTCCCCCCGGAAAGACACACCACTTTATAACTTCTTGAAGCGCTTAAAGAGAGAGAGGTGTGTATATGGTGTCACTCACTGCTTTCCATTATGTATCAGTTCTTAAAGCTCCAACCTCTAATGAAGACAAATAAGGTTGTAACATTTGCATAAACAATATAGAAGAAAAAAAGGAAATGTGTGACAATTTTACACATAAAGGTCAGTTTACTGTTCTTTTCGTCCAGGAGACAGAAAGCCTGAGTGACACCGGAGTTGTCATTGGTTGCATTATGGGAAATATAATAGGATAATAGGAGCACACATGTAAATGTATTACAAAAAAACTGTATTTATCTACAGACACCACGGGTCGCCTTCCATGGAGGCGCCATGTTGGATGGTTGTGTTGCTACAGTAGCCGTAAACGGACAAAACAAACACAGGCTGTAGATTGGGCCCCTTGTGTTTTTGCGAGTTTCGCGGCCACTGAATTTTCTCCCACACACTTCGCAGCCTGTTCTCATTTCCCAGGTCATCAAATACAGACGCGAGCGGTGTTCAGTTAGTTGCAATCTGCAACTTCCCTGCTAGATGCCATTAAACACTCTTAACACTGCTCCTTTAAAATCTGATTTTCACTTTCCACTTTCAGCAGATGAA